ATATATATATATATTTATATGTGTGTGTGTGTGTGTGTGTGTGTGTGGGTGGGTGTGTGTGTGTGTGCAGATGTTTTGGGTAAAACCAAAAACATGCATGTTAGGCTGATTGGTAACTAAATTGTCCCTAGTTGAGAGAGAGAGTGAATGGTTGTTTGTCTTGTTTGTCTCTATGTGTCCCTGTGATGGACTGGAGACCTGTCCAGGGCGTCCCCCGCCTCTCTCACAGTAGTGGCTGGACATGGGCACCAGTGACCCCTGCCACCCAAAAAGGAAGAAGAGGATAAATATAATGGATGGATGGATGGATGGATGGATAATAAACAATTGCAATAGTCCAGCCTAGATGTATTACATGCATGGATCAGTTTTTCTGCATCATTTTTGGACAAGATGTTTCTAATTTTAGAGATATTGCGTAGGTGGAGGAAAGCAGTCCTGGTAACTTTTTTAATATGGCGGTTAAAAGAGATATCCTTATCAAAAATAACACCAAGGTTTTTAACTTTATAACTGGAGGCCAAATTAATGCCATCCAGAGAAAGTGAAAGACTGCACAGTTTATTCCTAAGAATAAATTTGATGAGAAATATGAGAAATTATTCCTCAGATCTAAAACCCACAACCTCAGTCTTGTCTGAGTTTGAAAGGAGAAAATTAAGGGGCATCCAGGTTTTTATGTCTTTAAGACATGCTTGTAATCTAAGTAACTGATTAGATTTATTGGGTTTTATGGACAAATATAACTGTGTATCATCAGCATAACAATGAAAATTTATCCCATGCTGTTTAATAACTTTACTTACTGGAGGCATTTATAAAATAAATAGTATTGGTCCAAGCACTGAGCCCTGAGCAACGCCATGACAAACTTTGGTGTATGAAGAAAATTCATTATTTATATTTACAAACTGGACTCTATCAGATAAATATGATTTAAACTATTTTAGAGCTATTCTTGTACAAAGTAACCCCAATATCATATTCAAGCCTCTGTAGTAAAATATTGTGATCAACCATATCAAATGCAGCACTGAGGTCTAACAGGACCAGTATAGACACAACTCCATTGTCTGAGGCCATGACAATATCATTAGTGACTTTTACTAGTGCTGTTTCTGTGCTATGATGAGCTCTAAACCCTGATTAAAACTCCTCCAAAAGATTATTTCTGTTCAGGTGTTCACACAATTGATTTTCAACTATTTTTTCTAGAATTTTTTAGATGAATGTTAGGTTAGTTATAGAATTCCTAGATCAAGATCAGGCTTCTTAAGTAAAAGGTTTAATTAAACCTTAAAGCGCTGTGGTAGGTAACCATTCATTAAAGACAATTTAGGCAGATCTGAAATGTAGCTATTAATTAGGGGAAATACCTCTTTAAATAGTCTAATTGGGATGAGATCTAGCAGACATGTGGATGGTTTGGTTGAAGCTATTATTTTTTACAATTCAGACAGCTCAATAGGACAAAAACTGTCCAAATATAAATCAGGTTCTAGTGACATTTCTGAAGCTGCCTCATCTGACAGGAAATTGGATGCAATAGTAGGAAGGATGGTGTTAATTTTCTCCCTAATTGAAAAAATTTTTTTTAACAAAGAATCTCATGAAATCATCACTGCTTACAGCTGTAGGTATACATGGCTTACCAGATACCTAGGGTTATTTTTGTTCTCATCTATTAAAGATGAATAATTTAATTCAATTCAATTTATTTATTTAGCACCAAATCACAACGAAGTTGTCTCAGAGCCCTTTACAGAAACAGTCACATACGTAAAAGCCAAATTTATAGTTCTAGCTTTACAGAGAGCTTATTTATATGTTAACAGACTATCTTTCCAAGTTAAATAAAATTATTCCACATTAGTGGAGCACCATTTTCTTTCCAGCTTTCTAGATGCCTGCTTTAAAGTACGTAAATCAGAATTGAACCGAATTAATAAATCCTCTGATTTATCACTTTCTTTTTCAGTGGAGTAATTTTATCAAGTGAAGTTTGCATTGAAGTTGTAAGATGATCAACTAGATGATCTAAGTCACTGCTCTCCACTGCATTACTCTACAAGACAGAGAACAACATTGATGGAAGAGATTCTTTAAATTTGGTTGCAGCGTTTTCTGATAAGCGCCTGCTGAGATGAAATTTACTCTCAGTGACTGTGTAGTCATTTTTTTTTAATTTATTCAACCTTTATTTAGACAGGTTAATCCCAGTGAGCCTCGGAGACTCATTTACAAGAAAGACCTGATTTCTTTACAAAGAGTGATGACAACAATGAACAACAACAACAATAATAGACAGTCATAAAAGAGGCATACAATTTTTTTTATTTTTTTTTATGCTTTGCAGAGAGTGGTGAAGGCTGCACAGAAGTCTGTTGGAGTCAGTCTCCCCACCATCACAGACATTTACACTTCTAGATGCAGGAAGAGGGCCACCTGCATCATGAAGGACCCCACTCACCCAGCACTCACACTTTTTGCCCCACTCCCCTCAAGAAGGAAGTTGAGGAGCATTAAGTGTAGAACCACTAGACTGAGGAACAGCTTCTACCCTGAGGCTGTTAGACTCATGACTCTCTAACCAGAACAATCACTGTGAAAAATCACATCATGTTGCTGCTGATCTGTTTCATGTTGCTGCTGATCTGTTTCACGTTGATGTGTTCATGCGTGCTCATCTGCTCACACAGACTTATGTCCGTGCTGCTTTTTTGCGTATTGCTGTTATTGTTTTTATGCTATTGGTGCTTAGTGTATTATCTTTCTTTATCTTTCTTTACCCGCTTATTCCATTTTGGGTCACGGGGGGTCGCCGGTGCCCATGTCCAGCAATCACTGTGTGAGGGGCGGGGTACACCCTGGACAGGTCTCCAGTCCATCACAGGGCCACATAGAGACAAACGAGACAAACAACCATTCACTCTCTCACTCACACCTACGAACAATTTAGAGTTACCAATCAGCCTAACATGCATGTTTTTGGTCTGTGGGAGGAAACCGGAGCACCCGGAGAAAACCCACGCATGCACGGAGAGAACATGCAAACTCCAC